CCAACAATTTTAAACTTGATTATAGCAATTTAGAAATTTGCCACCGACTCAAAATTTAAATTCCTAATCCTACTATTAATGAATGCCATGCTTAAATGTACAAAAACTGTTGACTTCGGGAAACTTAAACCCAGTTAAAGATCTAATACCCTACCCTATTCATACTGCTTATATTTAATATAATATATATAACTTGCTACTTAATAATACTTCTTTTCTGGATCAGAAACAGATTCTAATAAAAAACTACCTCAATTACCCGCCAATTTTAAACTTGCCTTAAGCTACATGTGTACAAAATGAAAATATTATAAATCAGCACCTCTAGAATGAACAAATTCCCATAACAAGCCTATAATAAATTAGCGCCCTCAAGTTCTTTGATCATATTTTTTGGAAAAAATCAAACTATCAAAAAATCTCTTTCTCTCTACAATCCAACTCGTAGCCCTTCTGTGACAAATCAGAACTAATATATTTAAGAAATTCATCTAATCTCCCACCATCTAATGTCTTGTAGCATTCAGTACGGGTAATTATTCTCTATATATCTTTGAGGGGGCATGCCAAAGGGTGTAAAAAGTTATTTGGGTATAGGGGGTAACTCTTGGCGTTCCAGTTTTGAGACACTGGTCCTAGGAATGTACCGATATTTTTTATCGGATCGGAGCGGGCCGATGTTTCACCTATTATAAAATATCGGTTATCGGCCAATATTATAAAATTTGCCGATCCGATATAAAATGGCGCCCTTAACAAAAATAAAATTTAAAAAAAAGATATATCTAAAATCATTTATTTTTATAAATAAAATCGAAATCCATATTTTTTTAATAATAATTAATTAATTAATAAACATTCTGCCATATTGTTATTTTTTTGCGCATTCTGTTTATAAAAGTGTGCGATAATCTCTTCAGAATCTGTTTTTAGTGAAGCTGGTGATATTGACAGTTACCATCGCCGCAGGCTGATTTCTGATAAATTGGAAATTTTGATATTTCTAAAAAGAAATCTTCGATATATTAATGTTAAATATTATTTTAAATATTTATTTAAATTTCATAATATATTTGATTATTACTTATTATGTTAATAGATTAATTTTGTTATAAAAGTGATTTATAATAAAAATATTTTATATACTTTTAAGCAATAGAATTGAATATAAACTATAACTGATCATTATAATATATTTAAATGACATAAGTTACGGTATAATTAAATTATAGATGTTATACTAATAAAAAGTATATTATAAATTAAAACCATTGGTATCTTTACAGAATACAAAATTAGATATGATATCGGATCGGTTTTCGGCCGATATCAATATAATATCAGGAATATCGGATCGGCCTCCAAAAAGTGGTATCGGTACACCCCTAGTCCTACTCATACATTTTCTATAGAATATAATGTGATACATATATTATATAAACCTTTAAAGCGGCATGACCTAGTTTAGAGCCAAACATTTTAAACCGAAAAGAAATGAATCTCAAGTTCGATGCTTCGATATAGAGGGCACATATAGTGCTTCCCTTGATATAGACCTCCCAATTCTATATATTTTTTTGATATTATATTTGAACAAAAAATTTAAAGAATTAATTATGTGAATAAGAAAATAATGGTTTAAAATACTCTCTTAAATAGGATATAAAGATTCCCTTAAAATATTGAAAAGATCTTCGATTTTTTTAAGAATAATATAGTAAGTTATTTATCTCTGCTTTAAATAATTGAATTTAAACACCTAATAAATAGCAAAAAAATATGAAATTTAATTATTAAAATATATACACCTAAATAGAGATTTTTAATGAAAAGAGGGCATTATGTGACTAAAGAAAAAAGCTAGTTCAAACTCATTCATATTTTACAAGTGCTGTTAAATGGCTCGTTTATAAATTGAAATTCTCGCCAAGATAATAATACGCAAGCCTCAATATTATATTACTAGATGTCCAATCCAAACATTCTTGCCATCTATGAGCTCAGATTTAGTTATATCTTTAGTTAAAATATTGGTTTAGATGTTCTTAATAATCTATCCTAAACACTAGACTTTACGTTTTTTAAGATATAAAATTAAGATCATAAAAATACCTCTGAACTATTCCCTTTTGTACTGTAAGTCAACTCGCACCACATTGCCTATTTCAATTAAAATTTTATTTCAAAAATTATATGTTTGAGTTTCTTAATCAAATAAATATTAAAATTAAAATTATATCCTTAACTTTATTTAGTATAAACGAGGACATGGTATGAGAGGAGATATCCTATTAAGATTTCGTAAATATATTTTAAACTAAAAACTTCGTGACATGATATTTTTTTTTAAATGATGACTAAATTAGGAAATAAATTTTTTTTAAAATGTAGTTTAATTTTTTTCAAAAATCCATTCAAAGGTCTGTATTTGGAGGGCTTAAAGCACTCCAATAAAATTTAAAAGGTAATCCCCTCGACCCCTTTCCCATTAGGAGCGTCCTGGTTAAACCTATATGATATATTATAAACGATAAGATCTACAAAATTTGTAACAATTAAGTCAAATCTTTAAAAAATATATTTTTTTATATTATTAATATCTCTAAAATAATAGAAAAATCATTTATTTTAATCTGTTAAAAATTATTTTTAAAAAAATATTAAAAAATCACTTTGCTTCTTTCACCAATAATCACAGTCCGATCTTCAGCCGAGAATAGATTCACAGTGTTTATAAATTGGTTATAATAACATTTGATTGGAATCAATATTGCTAGTGCTAAAGACAGTAGATATAATATGAATTTAACCATATTTTGGGGAAGAAAAAAATATATATTTTAGAGAATAAAAAAATAAATAATATTTTTAAAAAGGTGTTAAATTTGAAATGAAACTTTAAAGGAAAAATTTTGTTTTGGTCAGATAAGTGTTTATTTAAAATAAAGGGTTAAAGAACTTAGAAGAGAATATATTAATATTTAACAGAATTTTTTCTTAAATGTATAAAAATAATTTTAAAAAATAGACAAAAATTTTTTTGATAAAGGGATAGCCAAGAACTGATTCTAGTTCTCTATATATCCATAATAATGAAAAAATTTTAATCCTCCTTCAAAAATTTATTGACGAATTATTTTGATAGCTTATCGCATAGCCCTGAAAAAATACGATAATATTGGCTCAGATCATCATTTTAATTAAAAATATCGATGGCTAAGATCCAATATTGGCATTAGAGGTCTGCTATAGGGGAAGGGTTTAGCCCATCCGCTCATATTTCGGGCGGGCACGGTCGGGTTTTATAAAATATTTTCAATATTGGACTGGTAATGAGCAGGTAAAAATTAAGTAATGGGCAGGCGTGAGCGGGTAAATTTTTAATATTTTTCAGGCGAAATGAGCAGAACAGACTTTAGTTTATTAAAAACAATTCTTTTATACATATGAATCAAAGACCTGAAGACCTAGCCCGTGTCATATTTTAATATTTTTATATATACCCGGACCTTTTTCAAATACCCGGGGTGGACCGGGCTTAATTTTAAAAAAATACCCTGGCAGGCAGTATATTTTGAATCGCCATTATTAGCTATAAAAATTAAAAATTATTGTATTATATTTTTTAAAAATCAAGGCCAGAACTGAAAATATAAAACCTAGGCCGGGCCTAATTTTCTTTAAAAAAATCCGGGCCGGGATGTGGAAATGGTACTTCTGTAGGTCTCTGATTAAAATTAAATCCAGACATTAAAATAATTTTTAAACACGGGGAGGAGGGCGGGTAAATAAAAAAAATAAATAAGTAGGTTGACAAGTTAAAATAAATTTCATGACAAATGGGCGGGCTTGTTGGCTATGCCCATTGCAGACCTCTAATTGCCACAGGCTTAATATACATCTCCTTTTCCAATTATTCTTAAAATTATTATTATAATATATTTAATAGGGGATTATACATGTTTCTTGTGGAAAACAATTCCCAAGAAAAAAAATCCCTTAAAAAAAATTTTTGAATTTAAAAAAAAAAATACTCAACCCCCCCCCCCCCTTCACCCAAAAATATTGATGGGGTTTTTCCGGGAAATTATTTTATATACCTTATTCATTCCCTCAATATCCAGTTCTTCTTGGTCTTTAGGTAAATCCTTAATTCATTTTCATGTAAATTCTAACTCGGTTGATATAGCCAAGAAAAAAAAATTAAATATTCGAAATTAACAAATTGTGTTTTTTTTACCAATCGTTATCTCTTCCCTTGGATATATGTCAAGAGGATCTTTATATTTTTTAAAAAATACAGGCGATAAAATAAGTGCCCTAGAACCCAAAGAATATTTTTTTTTAATCAAAATATTCAAATTACCATTTTAAAATATAATTATTCCTGTTTTTTGGAAGCTTATAGTCCAACCTCCGTTTTTATAGAATAAGTTTTAGTATATTATATTATAGTTAGATTGGAATATGGTTATATATATGATAAATAAATATTGGTTAAAAAAAATTTCTAATTGCCAAAACAAAAAAATCAACAAATATAAGTACCATAAAAAAATTTACTTTTAATCCTATGGTACATCGTTGTCATTTTTTTACCAACTACTTTAGAAAAGATTAAATTGCTAGGCCACAAAATTAAACACATTACAAAAAAGACCAGGGAATATTTTTGAAATTTTTAGATATCATTATGATTCCTTTTTGGGAACAAAATTAAAATTTTATAATTTTTCTTTTTTATCTTAGTATTTTTATAGTTTATAACTACTCTAAAATATTTAAATTAGATACTTTTGTTAAATGTTATTAAAAATATATAAAATAAACTGAAAAAATAAAATATAATTAAGTGATCTTAATTCAAAATTTTCATTATTATTTGTATTCTTTCTTATTAAAAATTGTGATTCAACATTGGATAATCTTATAAGTAAATTTGAAATCGAATATGAATAATCTGAGTATGTCTAATTCCAATTACATCTAATTAAACTATCTAATAAGTTGATATGTTATTTTATTTTGGTATTTAGAAGAACTGCACAAATAATGCAAAGAAAATAAAGATTGAAATAGATTCACATATTCATTATTTGAAGGTTAAACCACTTCAATATAAAAACTTTACAAGTTATTATAAAAATTATTCTTTTCAATTTTCTAATAATTCAACATGTTCCGTAATTTTTTTGATAGATACGCGAGTTGATAAACGTTTACGATTGGCAAGAGATTTTTTCTTAGATGATGCGGCACTTTGGGACAAAATAGATTCAAAGGTATTTTCAAAAACTTCAGAATTTTCAAGATTTTCAGAAAGTGGCACTTCTTCAAATTCCATAATGTCTGAAGATGAGCGAGCTAAATGTTTGCAATAAAAAAAGTATGATTATAAAATCTTCTAAATATAATTTTGTTAATAAAAGATTTAATTTATTTAATGCTGAGGATAATTTTAAAATGTTATAATAAAATAACAATTTTTGGCATGAAAAAAAAATATAGATTTCATATTTTTAAACATTTACAAAAATGACTAAGAAAAAATTATATAGAAAACAATTTAATGTAACAAGATTTTATAAAAAATTATCTTGAATAATAAAATTTTATGATTTAAAAATAATGCCAAGAAAGGACTAGAAATAAGTTTTATTCTACTCTAATAAATTATATTAAAGCAGCATGGAAATTACTTTTTTTCAATTTCAATTTTTAAAAAAAATTAAATTCACAATCAAAAAATGATAAGAATTAAAATAATTAAACATACCAACTGGTGCCCTGATTAGACTCATATTCTGATCAATATCTTTAAGTTCTAATTCTTTCCTTTTCTTGATCCCAACTCTTAACCTAATTAAAATAAGAAAATTAAAAGATTAGTATTATATAAATTGTACAATTGATAGCATATAAAAAACAATGAAATTTTACTTTAAAAAATCTGATCATAAATTAAGCCAGATATTTTACTCTATAAATTATACTTTTATAAACATATATTATATATATATTTCATCAATATTATCTATAAAGGAATGAATAATCTTTTCTCTTTAAAAATAATCATTAAAATACTATAAAAAACACCTGAATTTTTCTTATATTAAATTATCATTTATATATCATAATAAAAAAATATTTATACCTTTCTTTAATGAATCTTGATTCTCTTTTGCTCTTGATATCTTCAATCCTTTTAATCGCATCCACTAAAAAGTTAATCATAAATAATTTTAAAAAAAATAATAATATATTAATAATTAAAATATACCTGTATTTTTCCAAATTTGTCTGTCATATTTAATTGGAATATTTCTTCTTTTTTCAAATTCAAGTGAAGGATCCAATGTAAGTTCCTTACCAGAAGCCTTCCTAAATGCTTTAGTCCATTTACTTTTTCTTGGATTTCTTTTCCTTTTAAATAATCGGTGACATTTTGACCTGCAAAATCTAAATATCTTTAATCAAATTAAAAATATAATTTTTTATTTTATAACGATAAAATCATTCGATAACTACGATACATTAATATATAAAAATAGTTTTTATATTATATTAAATAAATTTACCTTGCAATCATTACGGACAAATACAATTCCATGTCCAGGATATATAGTCGATGAACAAAAATAACATTTTTCTAGTCTCATTATAAAGGATCTAAAATAAATCTTTAGATAGAGTATGTTTATAGTTTACTTAAAAAATGAGTAGGCGAAAAGAGGATAGATGATTCACAAAATAAGCTGGCTATAAAATGTCATTCTTAAAATTTCTTGGTGGAGTGCAAATACAAGTCAATTCGGGGCGGCGACAATTCAGCGCAGCGTCAATTTGGTGCGGCAACAATTCAGAGCGTATCTATTACAGTTGCAATTTATTATATATTACTTAGTATAAAAAAATAAGGATTATTAAATAGAAATCATTTTGAATGTTGGTCCTATTAATTATTTCTCCATATATTTTTACAAAAATCTCAATTTTATTTACTAAATGTATATCGAAAAAAATTAACTAATATTTATACCTATTTCTTTAATAAACCATTTTACCACATTATAAGGTATGTTGATTAGTAGCCAATATTATGTAAGCCTGGAGATTTTGCGCATAGAAGGAAAAAAAAGGAGAAAGATTTGACCTCTATCTCTAATCTTATATATTATTTTGACTACAATCTTAATCAACCGTTTTATAAAAATAGACCCAAAATACCCCCCTGATAAGTACTATAATATTAAATCTTAAATCCCCTTTTCATGCCTAATTTTAGATAATAAAAAAAATAAATAAAATTATAAAAGTTTAAAAAAATAATATACCCCCCTGATAAGTAATATGCCCAAAATCTCGGTTTACATAACATTGGCTTCTAATATAAAAATTGGTTGTTTTTTGATATTACACATTTAATTTTTGATTTATATAATTAAAAAAATTAGCCTAAGCATAATATTTTTTTTAAAAAAGAATTAATAGAATTCAAGGATTTTTATTAAATCTCAAAAGTGAGTCAGTCTTAATTTTATTGGACCATGGCTGGGTCTATTTTTAAAAACGGCCGATTTAAATTCTAGCCAAAATAATATGTAAGATTCGAGATAGAGGTCCAAACCTTTCTTTTTCTTTCTTTCTTCTATGACCAAAATCCCGGTTTACATAACATTGGCTACTAATTAACATACCATATGTGGTAAATTGGTCAACCAAAGAAATAGGTATAAATATTGGTTGTTAATTTTTTTTGATATTACACATTTAATTTATGATTTATATAATAGAAAAAATTAGCCTAAGTATAATATTTTTTTAAAAAAGGATTAATAGAATTTAAGGATTTTTAATATATCTAAAAAATGATTCAATCTTAATTTGATTTTTTTTGGATCATGGCTGGGTCTATTTTTAAAAACGGTCGGTTTAAATTCCAGCCAAAATAATATGTAAGATTCGAGATAGAGGTCCAAACCTTTCTTTTTCTTTCTTTCTTTAAAATTTCGGCTTACATAACATTGGCTATTAATCAATATATCTTATGTGGTAAATTGGTCAACCAAAGAAATAGGTATAAATATTGGTTGTTAATTTTTTTGATATTACACATTTAGTAAATAAAATTGAGATTTTTGTAAAAATAAATATGGAGAAATAATTAATAGGACCAAAATTCAAAATGATTTCTATTTAATCATCCTTATTTTTTTATACTAAGTAATATATAATAAATTGCAACTGTAATAGATACGCGCTGAATTGTCGCCGCGCCTAATTTAATGCGCCGAATTGTCATGCGCCGAATTTTCCGCGCCGAATTGACATGATACCATAAAAAATATAAATTTTTATTAAAAACATTAAAATTTTTTTGGTTTGGAAGTTCATGTAATTCTTAAACATTTAAGTTTTAAGAACAATTATTTTTTTCCCAGCTGTATTCGACCCAATAGTTTTATCTAGGATGAAGCCTCAAGTTTACTCCATGCAAGCAAGGGCGTCACTAGTATAGTCGTGATGGTTGAATGTCGAATTTGGCTCAATTCACAGTCGAGTGCCGGATAAAATCTGTTACCATTGAAGCGTATATTAGTTCTTTTTATGGTTCAGCCGATTTTTAGCCGGTTAATTATTGACTTAAAAGGCTAAAAATATAGTAATTACTCAATTATGTTTACAATATCATCGGACTCAAAAGGACTTTTTTTAAAGTTATTTTTAAATGATATTTGTTTTAGCTCAGTTTTCAAAATGACCTTTTGAGGCATAAAAAAAATTCCAAAATTTTTAGGGGGCTTTTCAAATTTTTTAGGTGACTCGGGCCTCTATGCACCCCCCCCCCTCCTAGTTACGCTATTGAGAGCTAGTAATATAATATTTTATTTGGATTTTATATTTTAGTAATTTTTTTGATTGAAATCAATGAAAAAAAAGATAATCGATTTTGACTCACTATATTTCAGCAATAATTCCTTTTTCTTCTTAGAAATAAAAATAGCCACATAGCAACAAGGATTGAGGTAGGTCAGGCCATCATATTTTCTTACGACACATAAATTTAAAATTTACTTTTCTTTTATTTATTAAGAAAATAGCCATATTTTTTATTTACTTTCTCAATAGTCAATGCTTATTTTTCCAATAAAATTCTAAATATTAGAACAATTTTTGCTTTATTATTTTAAAATATTGGGGATTTTACATTTATTCCGATCCTCTTCGTTTTACCATTTGAAAAATTTCATAGAAACTTTGGAAACACTTTTAAAACTTTCCTGGGAAAACCACCTTCAACTAATAATTAGCCCAAATGCACGGAAAAATGGAGGGAATGGACTTAATATCCCTATATACCCTGTACATCCTTTTCCTATTTCTGTCTTTCCGCTTAACAAATAATTCACTACATTGGGGTGTAGATATGAATTATTATTGATATTTAATTAATATATTTTACTATCTAGTTTCAAATCTCCCAAAGATAACTAACTAGATGAAGCTATCACTATATGGCTAGATAGTGTCCCTCCTGATACACCTTTTCCCATACTAGTGACGTACAAAACGTTTTTTTAACCCCTAATATCAAAAACATTTACACATTTATCTTATTCTTCATCTCTTGAGAACATTCAACGATTTCAATACAAAAATAAAATCGGAGGCCACGAACAAAAACCTGGAGAATCTCTTAACCAATGCACAACTTAGAATGATTTTAGGATATAGACTCGGCGAACTAGTTAACCCCCATCATTGCATGAACTGCTTCCTAGCAAATGCCAAGGAGGGAAGGCATATTTTAATTGTATCAAATGTTAAGGCTGACATCAGCGTAACTCCTTAATAAACAACTTATTAAACCTCCTATTAAAAAAGGCTCGCATACCTAATATTCTAGAACCCTGCAATCTCTCAACTGATGACTGCCTAAGACCCGACGATCTGACCACTATCCCCTGGTCCATGGGCAAAACCCTTATTTGGGATTATCATGTGTCTCATCCTTCCCAACTAATATTAATAGCAACCGCTTACCTAAGACTAAAAAATAAACAAAACAAAAGCCTCGGCAATCTGATATTATCAATAGCAATGTCTACCAGTGAACAGTTCGCTCCTATAACTTCTAGTTATTCCTAATACAGAACATATAAATCAATATTTTTAAATTAAAATATTATTTTTAAGGACCCAATTATGTTTTTCTTAAAATTATTTTTTTTTAAGTTTATATTTTTTTTTTGTTTTTCAATTTTATATATTATATATGTACTAGTTTTATATTCACATAAAATATTGTTGTTTCTAACTTAATCTAATTTTTATATAAAATTTGATCCATATATTTTTTTTTAAATTACTTGCGTATTGTCTTGCTTTTGCCTTTTTAATAAGCGATTAATTATCTTAAATATACAAGTTACAAAACCTAAACGGTGAGTATAATATATTAACTTTAATAATTAATGTTGCTTATTTGTTTCTAGCAGGGTACTATACACTTATCAGTTAATTATATTTTGATTCCCACCTCAATTTAAAATTTTTAAAAATAATTTTTATTGCAACCTTTAATATACAAAAGTGTAAAAAATATATATAACAAAAAAAAATTTTAATTAATAATTTAGACAAATTAGGGGAAGAGAAAGCGAAAGAATTTATAATTTCGTTAATATTTAAATATTTAAATAAATTTTAATCCATTGATAAAATCTTATATTATTAAGAAAAGAATCTTAATTAGTTTAATTTTACTCGTAAGCAGTACATGAGATAGTATGAGAAGTTAATAAATATTTATTTGAAATTGATAAATTAGGTTAAACAAAAAATTAAAATATTAACTATAAAGTAAAATAAACAAATAGTTTAGTCTGAATCATAAGTCTCAGAATCGTTATCAGAAGATAAAGAAGCTATATAATCAGTTATTGAAATTTGAAATATCTTTATATAAATACATCCCCCTTATTATGGATTGTAAAGGTTTCGGTCTAGAATTTTCAAAATCAAAAGTTAGATTCCTCCCCTTCATACAATTTTCTGCCTTTGAAAAACATTCAAAAATTCTGTGCCATTATCTAATAAGATTTTAAAATGATACAAGACAACAATTTATATTGCTCTGGCCCTTTTACCAATAAAATTTGATTTCTATCCTTCAACATGGTTTTGAAATTTTGTACAAGCCAATAGTTTACATCAATATTTTTTTATAAGCACAATGTGCTAAAATAAAGTTTTCTATTCTAAAACCTACAACACTAGCCAATGGTAGAACTGTGGTCAGAATTCTTTAAATTTGTCAGCGCTGCCCTCAGGGTATCATAAATTAGTAAGAAAAATTACAATAGCTTTAAATAATGATAGCCAGATAAATATATATAAAATAAACATTTTAAATCTTAACAAATAAGATAATATTACCGAGTATATTATTGATGCATAATGATATTTGCAATTTTGTTAGTGCAATACTCCGACATATTTTAGGCATTGATATCTTTAAAAAAATGAAATACATGTAAATCTCGTCCAAGATCCCCAAAACATTTCTTAGCGCTTTTATAAATTATATAATTGAACAATGATTAATGTAAACGACCCACTAAGGGACTGCGGTCACCTTATAGATAATTTCCGATGGTACTTACTCTTTTTTTTTGTAGCATTTAGTACGATGACCAAAATGTCCGGAAAATCTGATACCCTCTCCGAAAATCACGGGCCATCGATTTTTCAACGATATTTTATTCTTTTTTAATTTTTCTTTTACTCAATATTGTATAACTAACATATAAATACTTAATAATTTTGTAGGTAAAATATTTTAAGCTATATATTACACATACACCATAGTGGCTATATCGCAGATATCTTTATCTAAGTGTATCTTTTTTTCAAAAAGATCTGGTATCTAAGATATAAATTTAAAAAAAATATCTGTATCTTAATCAACTTTGCATTCAAAAAGATACCGAAATCAATTTAAATAGTATTTCAAAGATATAATTATAGAATCGGAAAGTGAAAACAACACACAAAGATAATATAATCACAAATATAAATTAAACATATTAAATGATGAATTTTTTTAAAGTCATTCAACATGAAAATACCAATAGTGTAAATAATGGAACAAATTTTTAAATGGATTTACATACTAGTCATCTAAATTCTCAAGCATCTAAATAATTTTGTTAAAAAGCACATTTTTTATAATTAAAGTTTAAAAAAGTATCTTGCAACTTATATTTTGCTAAGTATCTAATCTTAAATTCAATATTAAAAGCATCTGTATCTGAATACTTCTGAAAATTTGCACAACCCTGACTTATATAAACATTATAAATTAATATAAATCAATTATCCGTGATTGGCGTTCACATTTCTGGACGTTTTTAAACCTCTTGCTTCAAATATCGTTTTCAGGAATAAATACACTAGGTAAAATTTATAACCTAAAAATCCAAGTAGGGGTCGGTTAATATATCGTGTTGGTCATCATATAGAAATTTGCTAAACAATAACCAAATTTTATTAAAATGTAATAAGGCCCACTTTTATTTATATGAATCAAGCAACCTAGTTAGCTGTATAAAAAAAAACATGATCCACTGGATTCGAGCCAATGTCGAGGTTTATGATCTCTCAATCAACGAGAAATTGATCCACGGGCGATATACCTCTTTTGTAAAATTTATATTCTCTACCTTAATATAATTAGAATGTGTATTCTTCAATATTATTTGGGATAAGGACTAAAAAAAGATTAAAGACAAAAAAATTTACAAAGCAACAATATTCAACCAACACTTGCAAAAATGCAAAAGTATCAATTAAACGAGTCTGAATGTCTATTACATTATCATAAAATCCGTCTTTCAATTTTGTGTAATAAATATATATATTTTAATGAAATAAAACCAATTTGTGATTTCTTAGTAAGGTTCATTTAGCGTTTTGTTACAATTTTTAACGATGCAATTTTTTATTGAGTAAAGCAAAATATAATACTGTTACTTTTTGAGTAACGTAGACAGAACTAATTATTTTCATTCTACAGATTAATTTTTAAAAATAGATTAAAATTTTAATTTGTTTTTAGTTTAGATTGAGTATAAACTAGGAAAATATATGGATTGATTACTCTATTTTTGGATAATGAAAGCAATATTAAATTTCATATCGTTTTTTTTAAATTTTTATTCTTAATTATTTCCTTTTCTTCTTATCATCATCTTTTCTTCTTATCATCATCTTTTTTTTAAGTTTAACTATATAATAGTATAATACCAAATTTGGAGTAAGTTAACTGTTTTGCAATAGCAATTCTCTAATAACTAATTACTGTTTATAGTAATATAATTCAAAATGGTATATTATATTATTTTTTTCAACAATACTTTTCCTTATTTTATATTATAAGATTTAATCATTTCATAACTATTTATATATATAAGGTAATAATATTACATTTTTGTAACATGAAATTTAATTATAAATAAGTTATGTTTGTAAACATTTTTTTTATTTTATAAAATTTCCTCGGAATCTGTCCACACTTTGAGTTCTTTATTTTCGGCTATAACATTGAGTACTTGATTGAAAATTTGTTGATAAGAATTGGTAGGTATTACAGCTTTAAAAAAAAGTTATATAAATAATAAAGGTTACAATTGATAAAAATATATATTGTCAACCAAATAATTACTATAATAATGACTTTTATATCTTTCTGTAGGAGAGTAGTTATTTTAGCTAATTAATTGTATAATATCTTTCTCTTATTTGCTTTATAAATAGACTTTTTATAATCCGCTCAGGCTTGAAAATTAGATTGAATAAGAAAGCTAAAATTCTCATCAAATATGTCGTAGTTAAATTTATATTAAGAAAAATATTAAATCGAATTGAAAAAAAATATGCTAAATCACTTACTACTTGCTTAAAACCCAGGGTTCAAAAAAAACAATAAGCTGTCATATTTAATATTTTTATAATTCCTCAGTTTCTCTTAGTTTGTCATAAAGTAAATGCATTATCATCTCATTTCAACTTCACTCATTTATATTTAACTTATTTTCATCATTAGTTGTTACTTATAAACTGTTCCATGATTCCATTTACAATGTTGTTCATATTAATGGAAAACATTTTAATATTTACTAATTTATTTTAAATAAAAATTTATGGAAATGTTTTCAATTATATCTGACCTACACTTTAATGGAAATGTTATAATTTATGAGAATTAAAATACCATTGAAATAAGGTTGAAAATCCCTTTGAATGGTTTGAGCTTTATCGAAAACATTGAGCGCTTCTTCCTCACTCATCTCAGGATTTAGTTCACTATAAAAAAAAATATAGTTACGAAAAAATTTTATGTAATTGGATTAATACTAGAGGTCTGCAATGCCCGGCTCGATGCCTGACCAAGCCGGGTAACGAGCAAAAAATTTATTTGTGCCGGGTGAGCAAAACAATTATTGGGCTAAATTAATTATGATTACTGATATTATAAAGTGTAGTGTTTTTTTAATTTAACCATTCCCCAATTATAAATAATTGTGTATTGTTCAATTACATATTTTGGATTAAGCCCCTTGTATTATAAAAAATTGGACCAGGACGGGCAACCTTAATAAAAATTTGGGCTAATCGAGCAAAAGCTAAATTATTAAAGATTTTGCCATTTGAGAATTCTAATTTTTATGCGTAAATATTGATTATTACGATTCGAGTTGTTTCAAATTTAAAATTATATTATTATAAACAGGGATGTGAACCCTTCGACAAAAAAAAGGGTCCGAGTCTGAGTTCGGTAATAAATTTAAAAAGGACCCGGGTCCAGGGTTCGGGTTCAGAGGGAACATAAAAATAATGACTCAAAATAAGACTTTTTTCATTCATTTTTTATTATACTTCAAAATATACACATTTATAATTCGAAATTAGATAATTTATATTTTAAATATTTTATTCAATCGCACAATCATAATATCTTCTAAAATATCTTCCTTCAGATTTCCACGTAAATTAGTCAACGATGAAAATCCACGTTCTACGCTTACCTAAAATAGATAGTCATTTTTATAATACAAATTATTGTACTTGTGTCGCCGGTACAGCCATGACGATTCTAGACAAGGTATATAATTCTGGATATATTGAAGAATTTTCCTCCCAGAATTTTAAAATGTTTGCATCTCTATTTATTCTCTTAACTTCCGAGAACTTTTCTATTAAAGATATAATAGATATTTTTTGCTCCTTTCTATCAGATGATAATTTAATTTTTTTTTCTCTATCTAATAGTAAAATTTCCAGATCATCAATCGTTATCATTATCATTGTTATCGCTACAACCAGTAGATATTGTTGTAGCCTCCAATATATTGTAAATAATAGAGTTTTGGGTATGCCATAAATCTTCAAGATGGTCTATAGCCATTTGTTTTTGCTCACTACTTAATAAAACCTGATATCGCGGGTCTAAATATATCGAAGCATATACAACACTATTTTGTAAATATTATTCTTATTTTCATATTTTCTAATACTTCATTTGAAAAAGAACTTGTTAATCTCCCTAACTCTAATCGACATCTTAACCATATGCCATAAAAATCTGATAAACAAAATTGTTCTGCTTGCAATCTTAATGTTGTTATTTATAAAGGAACTAGCACACTAGTAAGCTCTTTTACTTGATTCCAATCATCTTCTGACAAAATGATTTCACATGCTCCTATGATAAAATCATTACAGAAATCTTTCAAACTTAATAATCGCTCTAGCATCATACATATAGAGGACCAACGTGTTGTGCAATCTAAAATTGCCATTTGCCTTTTCATGGATTTTAATATTCTAACAATTGTGGGAGTTCTTAAATATTTTACAACATCCCTTGCTTTATCAATTATAGTTTTAAAGTGACTATTTTTTAGGGAATCATTAATAGCCAATTGAATCGTATGGGCTGCACATCTGGTACAGTATATTTTTGTGGAGAAATCTTTTGTTATTTCCTGCAAATCAATTTCACCTATTTCCTCATAATTATCATCATCTATATCATCTTCTTCCAGTGAACATTCATTTAATAATTTGATTGATTTTACTAGATTGGCACCATTATCCGTAGTAATTGAATAAACGTTTCTTATAGGAATATGAAATTTATTTAATGTTTCTAATATCATTCTTTTAATATTTTCAGAAGTTGAACTCTCTTTAATCTCCTTCATTGCTAAATTTCTTAATATTATATTATTTCCTTTTATATACTGTATATTTCAATTTTTAATGAAATTAATTTGTTTTTTGTTTCTTTTTATATTTTTGCTTGTATTTTTTTCGATTCATTAACCACTAAGTCCTTAATTTTAAAACGGTTGTTCCAATTGCCTTACTAATAGGATCAATAATTTTTTTAAACCAGAATCCTCAATAATATTGAGAGGCCTTCCATTTATTGTAACAAGCTCAACTAAAGCATTCATCAAATTCTCTTCAGACATTTATGTTTTTTTTAAAACAAAATTTTTCAATATTATTTTCATCCTTCTTTACAATACTGACAGTATACTTTGTAACAATGTCTTCTTCCAAAAATTTGGTTTTTCTATTTAAATATTCCTCAAAGATTATAGAATGATGTCTTTTTAAATGTCTTTCCAGGTTAGTATTGTGTGAACCTTTTATCATTAGGTGGCAGGTTTTGCACTCAGAATCCCCTTTAGTTGCATTATAGTACTCTAACAAATATCTTTTAGTTTCATGCTAAAAAAACAAAATTTAATTTGTTTAAAACTTAAAAGTATAGACACATAGAATGTATATATTTTAATCAGGCTGCATACAAAATCTTAAAAATATAAATAAATAAATTTTGAAGAAAAAAATTACATAATCTATTTTTAATGTAAAAATAAAATAGTGTCCAATTTCATGAAATTTTTATAAAAAATTAGTAAGTACAATTTCTTAATGCTGTTAATTTTATAAATTTACTACCCAAACGTTTATAGCCTTTTATATTAATATATATTAGTGTCAGAAAATAATTTTATGGAAAGGTTAAGAATGCACAGGAACCTCTGGTGCAAAAATGACTTAAAAATTGGATATTCTGTAGAAAATAGAAAAATTTGGGAGGAAATAAGAAAAACAAAACTTGAATTATGATCAAGTGATAAAGAAAATTTTAGCTGTAAAGGCTAAATTTATTAAATTATAATTTGGTAAAAATAAAAAATTATAATTTAATTTATAAAAGGTGGTGGAAAATTATATAATTTCTATCACAATTTTATTTAAATAATAATTTTTTATATATATTTTATGGAAAAATTATCTTTCAAAATAGATTATATTATTGGTTTTCCAACTATTTATTAAATATTGATATAATTATTTACAACATGGTATTTATTAAATATATAAATAAAATCTAAATATAACTATTATCTATTATCAAATAGGTTCATACAAAGTTAAATAACTGAAAGGTATCATAAAATAATAAATACAATTAAATATTTACATATCTTTATCAAGCATTTTGAATATTTTAATTTTTTTAAAACTTAAATGTGTCCAAAGTGTTTTGTTATTAATTTGTGAAAATTTTAAGGATTTTTCAAAACTTGGATGCAGCCTAAATAAAATAACTAATTTTTTTGATATGATGATTTGAATATATTTGATAACTTATAATAAAATTATATATTTGCAAAACAGCCAATTTTGATTAATTTAAATTTACTGCTCAAAAAACATAACCTTAATATTTTAACACTGCAAAAATCACTTAATAAAATTTTTATATAAGATATTAATAAATTAGCCTTTAAAATTAAAATATTATTACTTGCAGTACAAAATAATTCCAAATATTGCACTTTCAAATCAAAATAGTCAAAGTATTTCTAATAAGAGCAAATAAATTTACATAATAAAATATTATTACTTACACTATAAAATAATGTATGGTATGAATATCTAAATAAAATGAAATGAAATCCAGGAAGAACAAAAATAAAATAAATGATTCCACGAAAAAAATCAATAAAATTATAAAAATTTTATATTATTTTTTAAATTTATAAAATTATAAAAATTTTATATTACTTTTTAAAAATTAATTAAAATTTTATATTATTTTTTAAAAATTATATTTTTACATTGATTTAAATTAAGTTAATTTTAACACCCTGAACCTTCAGCCAAAATACGAGGGTCCGGGAGGGTTCAGAGTCCGGGTTCACATCCCTGTTTTAATGTATATTCATACCCCCACCTGTCCATTCTTAAAAAATATATATCAGAGACCTGCAGAGGTCAAAATTTTAGGCTCGGCCCAGGTGGCCCTGGAATCTTATTTTTTTTTCCATTAATTTTTGTATAATGTTGTAAAGTGGAATTTGAAAATATGAGCAGTAAATGAATATTAAATGCTCTATTATATGATTTTCCAATATATTCTATCCAATTTATTTTTTAAATCTGCCCTTGGGCCTGTAGGTCACCGATAAAAGTATGTAAGAAAATTAGGAATTAAAAGGCTTAAAATAAGCATAATAAAATGACAATGTAAACTTACGTAAGTGCTATATGAGAGAGAGGATTGATGAAGATAACAATAGGGAATATATTTTGATCTACCAATCTTCTGATAGCTTTACCACTTACGTCTAAGATACAATGCTTTTTCTAAATAGTAAACAATTATTTTTAAAATCTCATTAAAATAAGAAATTTTTTTTATCCATTTCAATCTTATTTTTTCTGGTGAATAATAGTTAAAATGGTATTCTTACCTAGCTTTCATGAGGGACAAGAAATAAGAAAACATAGGAAGTAGAAAGAACAAAATGAATGAAAAGAAAAAAAAAGGCGATGAACCTGAACAAAAGCCACATCTTTGATGGCTTGAAAAGAAGTTCCATAAAGGTTGGAATTATATTGACCGGCCTCTATAAAGTGACCATCCCTGATATCTTGCTTCATTTTATCGAGGCCCTCGGTGACGAAATGATAATCTCGCCCGTCTATTTCGTGAGGTCTCATGGTACGAGTAGTGTCTTTTTTTTAAAAAAAAATTTCATTTATAAGGAAGAGAAAGAAAATAAGGAATTTGATTAAAAATAAAGGAATATAGATTTATTTATTAAGCTAAATAAAGATGAAAAAAAATCGAACACGAGAAATGGGTTGAGGTGTTGAAATAAAAGAACAAGCGCATGTGTAAACACAATAAAGGGGTAAAAGGCAAAGGGGAATTCATAATCCAGCCCAAAATATTTTTGCAAAATAATAAGTATCAAAATTTTTATGATAATTTCTAGAAGGATGCCACGAGATTCTTCTACTTGTAAGGAGAGCCTCCTATGATAGTATTTTCGTCCACATCATTATTAATACGAATTTTTATGTAGGTAATTATTTTATTTATGCACTTATTTAATACATCGAAAAATTCCAAATAATATTTTAATAATATTTAAGATAAAATCTTAATTTACAACTATTAAATGGACCAATCAGAAAAGTGGACGAATTTACGATCAAATGACTTCATGATTTTACGATCAATGACTTTATGATCATAGATAGGCAAATCTATTTTTTTTATAATCATTAGATATGCTACAATGTTTTAATTTTAAAAAAAATTAAATAATATTAAATATATATTTAAAAAACATGATAGTTGTAGTAAATATAATACTATATTCATACCATACCATATTAATGATTTTAAAAAAATATGGAAATTTTTATTTACGAGGAATGCAATTAGCGAAGGTTTCTGGATATTTTTGAATTAATTCGTCTCCTATTCTGTCTTTCAGGGGGCCAAGTAGAATGATGGGCCTTTTGTAAGGAACTAAAAAAATTATTTTAAAAATATGTATATTGTATAAATTATAATGTGAGGAAAATTAATGTGAAAAAATATTTCATTAATGTGATTTTTAATATTTGGAAGTCATTGAATACACTGAAATATAATCATTATTTAAAAAAAATAGAAAATTGATTAAATATCCATGCTATAATTATTTTCAAGTAACAGGTAGAGGTATCATCAAAATAATTTTAGTGTGCTGTATATTTTCGTTCACATAGTACAATATTTTATATCTTAGGCCAATCACTACTTAGTTTTTATTTTAATTTATAGCTACTACGTGTCTTTTTTTTTGAAATAGCGATCTCAAGGTTACACTATTTCATTTCATTCTTTCTTTTCTTTCTATATTACTTAATACAATCTATCATTTCAAAACAAATTTAGTAAATCATATGTATTTAAATCCTTTTATTTGGAAAACCATTATGAAATTAAGACCGGGATACGACCGATCTTATTATTTAAGATCCGGTTTGCTTTACTATTTTATATTATTTATATAGAAAAGTTATTTTAGTTTTTGTGAATTTTTAGTTAATTTTTATTTTGCAATATGAAAACCATAGTTAGTCAAAGAAGCATTTTACTTATATTCCCAATAAACAAAAATTAAATTAGGTAAAAACAAAAAAATATAAAGATCGGTCTTGCGGTCTTTTAGGACCATGGTCTGGATCGATCTTTTTTTAGAGACCAAAGACCGGACAGTGATCTTCATTAATGAAATAATATAAAATCTTTTTTCTTATAGTGCTTAAAAATTGAGAAGTAGCATTTAGTGAAAAAATGTTTCTATTTTTTTAAGATTATGTCCAAAACTTGAAGAAAAAAAATCACGAATTTTGAATAAAAATATAAATCGGTTTTCTTAAATCGAAAAATAAAAATATCTAAAAAAATATATTCTAAAGTTCTAAAAAATTTAACATATGATTTTGTTATTTAAAATTTGCAAAACTTTTTTTTTAAAAAAATCAATATTTTGAGACATAAGTTATAATTTAATAAAGGCAAAAAAAACCCTAACGTTTAAAAAGAGAATATTTATTAGATAATAAATGTCTTAAATATTTTTACGAAATATTGTAGAGTTTCTATGTAGAAAGAAAGTAAGATAGTTATTGTTAATTTTAAAAGGAGAGAACTGGGGAGGAAAATAAATAAATAATGTATTATAAAGAAATCTTTTAAAAAATAATGATTATTTTATTTTAGTGTAACTTACTTGGTTTTAAGGTGACGGGTTGGTACGATAACAGGTGTTCGTTGTTATTGTTTAAATATTGAAATTCGTCCGTTAGTTCTTTTTTTTAATTTATAAATTTGAGAGAATAATGAACATTTTATTCTAAAAAAAATTTCCGGCGAAATAATGTTTTTAATAAAGAGTTCTAATTTCTAACTTTATTATTATATCAGAGACCCGCCGATGTTAAATTTTTAGAGGAGTTTTTACAATTTTAATGCTTTTAACGGGCCCGGTTTTAAATTTTCAAAATTTCGATGCTGCTTTTTGTAACTTATTTCGAGGGCAAATTGAAAATATAAGCAAGACATCGAATTTTAATGATACATTATATTATTTACCAACCAGTTAAATTTGATGTGATTTAAATTAATCTTAGAAAATTCGGCGCATGCCTAAGTTATGTAATCTATTTTAACCTCTCGGCCAATTTCATTATAACTATTTATGAATAATTCCGGGCAAGATCTGGAGGTCTCTAATTTATCTTATATTAAATTTAAGTTTATATTTTAATATACATACAAATGATTGAAACATGCATTTTTCTTATGAAAAATAAATGAATATTTGGATTAAAACAACAAAAGTAATATTTTTTTAATCGAAATATGAATTAAATTTTGTTTTTACTGTTGAGACTATTATCGCTTTCGCTAATGATATTAGGGAATTCTATATTTAAAAAAAGATTAATATATAGTATATTTCATCTAATAATAAATTATAGGAAAAAAATATTTTGGAAAAATTAATTATTCATTCATAAAGGTTTAAATTTATAATTATAGGTTAAATTTGACCGTAGGCGAGTTTATTTACAAAAATATGGGGAAGGAAGGAATGTTGATCCTTCTGAATAATAGATAAATAAAAAGATATGAAGGAAATAAATAATATATCCCACTTTTGTTTTAATAGCTCGCTTAAAAGTAGGACTTATCTTTTTAATAATGAATCATCTACAGTTTCCTAAAATAAAGGCGTTCCACTGGGGGGGGGGGGGGATAATATATGAATAAAGGGAAAAATAATAAGTAACAGTAACGCGTTTCTTTTTTGTCTGAAAATGTTTTACAGAACTGATAATATATATTTTTTTTTATTACTTTCGCAAATTTTGCTATTCGTAGTAACTATGTTAGTATTAGTGATGGGATCTTCGTTTAGCAAATATTCCCTGCCTTTTGTAAAAGGAAACTTTTTGGTAAAAAGAGTGAAATTGTTTTTCTTTTTCTTAGAATTGTCATTGGTGAATGGGTTGTTTGAATCGCTCTTAAAAAGGAGAGAAACAAAATTTTTTAGAATAATAATAATGTTTCATCAAAGATAAACGTAATAACTATATTTCTAAATTAGAAAGATGTGTTTACAAATAAAAAACTAACATAATTGAGGTCAAGAATTAATGTAAGAAGGTGGGAAACGTATTCGAGAGACAAGAGAATTTGATAAGATTAAAAATATACCTAAGGAATAAAGAAAACAGGACTGGACAGGCCTAAGTTTTATAAATTTGATAATTTTATAGCACGTTAAATAAATTGGCCAAGGAAATTAAAAATTTTTTTAAAAAACTTACAAAAAGATAAGATTAAGAATCTAAGAATGTTTTAGTAATATTTTTTTAAATAAAATTGGAAAAAAACCTAGATGAAAGGATAATAATTTGTAACTAAAAATATAATCTTGAAAAAAAATTAAAACGCTACTTTGTATGATTCGAAAGAAATGTCGTTTATGGAAGATTCTTCTTTAGGGAAATTTCCTTTGAATTTGACTGTTTTATTCCTGTATTTTTCTTTCCGTCTTACCCTATGGATATTTAAAAAAATTCTTTAAAAATGTATATATAGTTATTTATAAAGTAAATATAATGGCACAAGAGTCAAAATAGCTGACCCAATGATCCTTCAATGGTAACCCCTTTAATAATTCTTAAAAATATATGGGACGGCTATTCAACTACCAGCGAGAATTATTTAATTGTTATAAATGATAGACGTCAAATTATTTCGATTTTAAAATTGTATTTATGATTTTAAAAAAAACATTTATTTAAATGGAATGGAAAAAATTGCGGAAAACTCATAAAAACCCGTAATGGCAGCAGTTCCATAATGCCATTAATCTAATAGTTTTTCAGAGACAAACAATAGCTCACATTAAATGTAAAATTGTTAAAACTAATACAATTTGAAATATACATAATCTATTCAAATCATAAATATTAAATTAACCAGGTCCTAGCAGATATTTTGTTTAGGTAAAATCAAGCGATTCTAAATTAGAGAAGTATGTGAAAGTGATATTTAATTTGATAAAGTAGAAGGATAAAAATAAGACACAAGAGACGAGATTTCGTTAATAGGTGTCAAACATTTATACCATCTATGAGCAAATTCCAAGCTTACCAAATATTCTTGGATAAAATATTTTAGCAGTTTTTATGGAGCCGTTTAACAACACTACTGTGAGGGGTATTGTCTTATTAAAATGAAAAAAAAAACAATAGTATGTCAATTTGATCAATTTTCCCATAAAATTAAAATAATTTCATAATTTTCCTATATAAGAACCTATTAATAAATTTTTAATAAATAAAGGGTTACGGGGTGGTGAGTATAAGTAGCAGAAAATTAGCGACAAGTTATTTATATATATATATATATATACCTATTAAAACTGGGAATCAATCCTATATTGATACCGGAGCTATTCTCACCGTCGTTCACGTGATTTTCGGTGTTATGGTCTTGATCTGCATGATTATGGATACCTTGTATGGTATTTGTAATAGTTTAATAATTTAATGAAAGAAATATTTTGGCGATATGTCAATCATCGTGTGGTAAAAATGATACTTGCATATTTATTTTAAAGTTCATTGCATTTATCTTGCAAAATGCAAGGTTTAGAAATTTGCAAAACGATTAAATATATGTCTTAGTTTATTTTTTAAACAATAGGCAAGGCAGATAAAGTAGACAGATATATTTAAATAGGAATTAAATCATAAAAATCTTTTTTACAAAAAGTGAGAATATATAATAAATGTTATTACATTATAGTGTGATGGGCACATTTCAAGTTTAAAAATTAGAATATAACTTTTTAAACGTATGATACCTTCTCGAGCAATTCTCAATTGGTCTCCTTCATTATCTAGAAACCTATTATAATTTCACCGGAGGTGCATGGTGCACAATTCATAAACCTCTTGATGATAAAATTTACAAAATTTGTTAAAGATTTCATTCGTAAAAATCTAATTTATTTTTCAAAACAAATTTGAATAATAATTGCTACCATTGATCGTCATCCCATTTCCGTTAATTTTTATCCCGTTATCCCCGCCAGCTTTTGCATCTCCGTCCACGCGATGATGACTATCGTAAGGTTGATTTCCGAAAGGAAGCCTATCGTACGCTAGATAGCTATTATCGATAGCGGGGAAGGAATAAAAATCTCTCTGGGGAATAAATTTTCTAGCCTTCCACCATTGGTCATCGCTGGCATTCAGCAAATCAAGAAGGTCACCTGTTTTGAAAGGCAAGCCCGGCCCTGGCAAATCTGACCTGTCTTTAGAAGGATCATAGTCGAACAGAGCTCTAAATTAAAGAAAAGGTGAATGTATTAAATGATTTATTTTAACGGATGTATTAATTTTGGAATAACTGATCTATTATATTTATTACATTAAAAAGAAACTGTAGATCACTTTATTATTAGTGGATTTTTTTATGTTTGAATTTATTTTAAAAGATTAAAAAGAAGAGAAAAAATATTATTGTAAATTAATTATAAAAACCTTTATGAAAGAAAGGGATAGAGGAAAAAAACTATTTCCAAATATAATTTTTTTTTAAAAAAAATGAGGAAAAACAATAAAAAATAATATACCTAACGTAAAGACACCTCTTTTGAGAAGTTTTAAGGCTGCCGCTTAATAAAGACGACGACTTATCGTGGTGGTCCGAATCGCCTCTCGGTTCGGGATTGATCGGCGTCTTCTGTCCTTCTGTTATGGGTATGTTGGAGTCACCTATACTCATGGTTCGAGAATTTTCATACCATTTGAAGTCTTTTTTTTTAAATATGTTAATATTAGAAGAATAATTTAATTAATGTTTGGTCGAATAGCCATTGGAACCGAATTAAACAATAATCCAACTCTTTTGGCGTAAACTTTAACTTATCATTAAAATAAGTTAGAAATTGTTTGGCAAAAGATAAAAATATTTGTTTTTATAGGCGTCTTCCCCATTTTTTGTGTTTAAGTTTAAACCGGTAATTTAATTTACAAGTATTGAACTTGGCTAATTAATCCATATGTCTAGTTCATGATATAAGTTTTTTTTATAACACTAGACTAACAATCGCGCAAAAATTCTATAATTTTATTATTACGTGTAATCAAGATGACGTTCAATTGATACCCTTTTTTTGTACTGCTTACTAATAGTGTTACAATAACTTTACGTCAAGCATGTTATCGATTAGTTTTAAAAACAAACTACAAAATATAGCCATGTCTTTTAAAAATATCCGTTAAAATATTTTTTTCTAAATTGGTATATTTCTTTAAAATTTTTTTTAATTAGTAATGATAACTACTAGTAATAATAACTACATTCTATTTTTTTACCATTATAATTATTAAATTAATAATATCGAATTAGTTATCATTTTATAAGTATAGAAATTGTCAAGTAAAACATATTTTTTTTCTTCTCTCTTTCTCGCTATTTTTTAATTGCAGTTACACATAAATAATAATAATTTTTTTTAATATAAATATATAATCAACAAAATCAATTCATTCTTATACTTGTATTGTAATTATAGTAGAAAAATTACTATTTTTTAGCCGAAAACTATCACTTTGGCCTTTAAAGATATATCAGCTCAAATTTTAAAGAAATTAATTTAAATTAAAACGCCTTAATATTAACGTATTTTCTACAGCACGCGTCTATGAATTGAGCCGAATTAGCCGACATTTATATTACCCATTTATACTTGTAATGTAAGTACTATCAATCCCCCTAATATAGTTAACATTAGTTAAGGATCAAACAAAAAAAACAATTAATTCAACTCTAGTCATCACCTTATAAATTAAGAATAACTTTGACCCAAGTCAGGTTTTAGTCAATGATTAATATAAGTAAAATCTAATGATATAATGTTCAAATTAGACGTAGGCCATTTTCTGGATATAACGATTTTTTCAAAGCGGTTTCATAGTATGTTTTATCAACTATGTGATGCCTAGCGGACAACTACTAAAAAATTAATTCGACAAATTATTTATCCTTGTTTGGAAATATAAAAAATTATTTTTATCGGAACATGCTCAGGAAACCGATTTGAAAAACTCTAGAAATGGCCATACATCCAGGATATTCGCAAAGAGGCGAGAAGGCCTTTGAAGTGATATTATAATAAACTTTTTGTTAGCTTTAATCGATTTTTGACGTAAGTGTCCTATCTTCCATCGGATATGGATTAGGGCTAATAAAAAGTTTAAAAAAACAGCTGTTGAACCTATAACTGGTTATATATCGTTAATGTGCATTGTAGGTTCGTATGTATTTGTATGTTCGTATGTATTTGTATGTATATAATATAATAAATAAAAAAAAAGTTTTAAGTCATATATATTTAAAGCCTTTATAACTTACATGAATTTATGCCAAATTGTTTAGGAAAAATTTGAATCGAATAAATTTATTAGAAAAATTTAAGAATATTTTGTAATTTGGTTTGGCCAAAATTTTATGCAAAAAGGAATCAATATATTTAAAAAGCAAATACTTTTTCCCGTCTCTTCTTTTTTTTTTAAATTCAAATTTTTTATTCGAATCCCCGAAAGGATTAAGCGTAAATATTTTTTTGGCTTATTCAAACTAAAGCAATCACATAATTATAAATCTCTATATTAAAAAAAAGAAAAATGAAATGTAATTTGTCCATTTTTTATCAGAGACCTTGTGAGTTCGTAAATTAAAAAAAAATTCCAATTTCAAGCCCAGCCCGAATTTTTTTTTTGAAAACTTTTGTCGGTCCGCATTTCAACAATTTTAAGACCTGCACCCGGAATTCTTAAAACTCTGATATTTTGAATAATTTTGGCTAATAATTTTTTTTTTGTAAATAATATGAGTATACTATATATTTTCTCGTACTTCTGACTTTTTCTAGCAGCAAATTTATCGGCTAATCGGCCCTGCAAAATTTTTAGCCATATTTTAAGGGCTGTTCCCATAAAAATTGAAATTATGAACAGCAAATGGCGTATTAAAAGTTACATTATATGATTTTTAGGCACTTTCTAACTCATTAATTGATATAATATAAATTTATTTTTAAAAAAGTCAACCCAACCCAGTCCAAATTTTTATTTTTAAATTTCTAGGCCCGGACCAGATTTCAATAATCATATTATTTTCTGCTAGTTTCGAGCAGGGCCTGCGTGTCTCTGAAATATTAAAGCCATTTGAGATACCCATTTATGCTACAAGTAAAGTTCATTAAGGCATTGAAAAACTTTTTTTTGCTGTCTATCACCACATGTACAAATGAGATGAAAAATAAAAGCAAGAGTAACTTCTACTCAATCAATAATTTATGGAGCAGTCTGATAAATACATTTGGATATCTCATACTATGAAAATGTATTAGAGAAAAATGGCCAAAGGTTCCGATGAGAATTAAATCGGACCCGGTCCGAATTTTTTTAAAATAGCTAATAATAATATTTAGTTTAAAAAAAATTAAGGTCCGGCCCGGGTATATTTAAAAAAATTAAAATACGGCCCAGCTCGGGTAGGTTCCCTTGTATTTTTTATCACCTTGCACAATTTATAATTGACTTTGTCGAGATATTTAAACTTTTTTATATATATAATTCTCAATTTTGCTTCTTAGAAATAAAGTTGAATATTAATTAGTGTAATAAAAATATACCGAAAATTTAAATAAAACTCAATATTAAAATAAATTTATATTTTGTCAAATCCTGCATAATTTTTAGTTTGCATTCTTAATTTAAATAAATATTTGATATAATTAAAATAAAGTTACGAAATAATTAATGTGGCCAAAGGCTACTTTTTTTTCAAAAAAAACATTTGGAAAAATCCTACTAAAAAATTTTGGTATCTCTGATTTCCTGCTTCATATTATCATTTTTTGATACAATTTCAAAATATATAAAAATTATTTAAAATAACGAAATTTAAACAATAAAAATACCCGGATGGGCAATTTTTTAAAAAAATCCGCATCGGTCTTTGAAAATAAGAAAATATTTAATCTTCGGGGCGGGGCTGGTCTTATCTTTTTTAAACACACTTGTGCATCTCGTTAGACGACATACAAAACCGACAACTGAGCCACCGCGACATTTATTACCCGGTAGGTATTGATTGAAAATATGGGAATTATTCAATAATCAATCAGATTATATTTATTAGACTATAAGTGTAATGACTCAAGTAATTATGAATTTATTTTATTCTTTCGAATAAAAAAAAATTAAAAATCGATATAATATATATATTAGTTTAAGTATTCGTTTTTATTTCGCGATCATTAATTCAAGGCTCAAATTAACCTCTAAAATGTGAACAAGAAAAATAACTCATATCTAAAATAAGCCAATTAATACCATTTTTTTTATCTACATAAGGGAAGGATTATAATAAAATTTCAATTCGCAAATAACTTATACAATATATACATTTACTTCTTTTATTATTAATTTTGCTAAAAGTTGTGATTATATATTATTTTTCAAATGTTGAGCTCATGCCTGAATGAGTGGCAATAGAGATAAGATATTTTTTGAAGTATTGATTCTTGTCTTGTCAATTTAATTTTTTTTTAAAAAAACAAACTTAAGACCCAAATCTAGTGTATTAATTTATAATATAAACTATGGGGAAAGCTGCCTTAATTTAAATGTGTGTAAGGTACGTAACTTAGGACACTTGCTTCTTAATGAATCCTTTTTAAGGTTACTTTAGAAGAGCAATTAGCTATATACTTACATTTTGGGAATGATATCATTATAAGATTATGTATTATAATTATCTATGTTATCAAAAGTAACATTTTTTGTTTTAATGGATATTGGCCATTTTAATGTGATCTCAAATAAAATATTATAACAATTTAAATGTGGATAAATAAAAGCTTGAATTTGCATGGTATATTTGATATCATTTTATTGCAAAACCCTCTATTCATAGGACGTTCTAAATATTTTACAATCATTGATTCTATTCTATATTTGTAATGTCAGATGTATGTATCTGTACCGCTAAAAGATAAAAAAATTTACAACTGTCTGGGACATATCACACATTTCTCTGTAAGTGTTTTAATTTTGATTGAAATAATTTTATTAATAAATAGTGAATATCTGCTATAGATATTATTTGGGAGTAGTTTTGCATCAAATAATTGGGTATAGAACTAGGCAATTATCAAGGTTTTTCAAGTAGCCTCAATTCTTAGACTTGTTAAGAGTGTATATATATACATATTATATAGGACTCAACACCCAGTTAAAATACATTAATAGAAAGGAGAGCTATTGAGAATTGGCGGGGTATTTTAAATAAGTACCGGGATAGATATTGATCCCAATATAGCTTAGCATTACATTGATCATAATTCAAAAAAATGAACATTATCCAATTCGACCCATATAATAGATATATTCGTTAGTTGGAAAGGAAAAATCATTTTTGAGCGCCTTTTTTTAATTTAAAATATGATACCGAAAATGTATTCCAGCATGTTAAGAATATCTATCTTATGAATTCAGACAATTTTGCCAATAACCTTTGAGTTATTTATAATTTATATAAAAAAATCTATGGAAAAACTAAATTAAATTATATTAAGCTCAAAAGTTCATGGCAAACATGATGCGATACATTTCCGGTAAAATAAGATTAATAAACGTGCTAAAAAAACTATATAAAGTTGAAAAAATAACATATTACCGCTTAGATATACATTATTTGATCCCTTAATTTAAATGTTGGATTTTTCATAAATTTTCTGTAA